GGGAAATACCTGCGAGTCATCTGCCATCATGTCCCAAACTCTCCATATATTTATCATTATTTGAGGGAGCTCCACTCATCAGTAACACATTGTTCTGTGTTGGCCTGCCCTTAAGCAGCAGGCTGGAAAAGCAGCAGCCTCCTATGCTGCCATGCTTAATGCTATGAGATCCGCAACCCAGTCAGTTCCAGATGAGCGGTGGGTGCAATCAGAATGAATGGAGTTAAAAATAAAACATACAGCTCTTCAGAAAGGAGGGGCCAGTGGAGCCTGGGGGAAATGAATGCATTACCACCATGTAAAATGACTCCAACAAGTAATTATAAATATTTTTTTTTTTTGTGGGAGTGGGACATAGATTTCTTCTGTTAGAGCTAGAAGGGAGGACGTTAACTAATCCTGACAATGACTGCTAATACTAACACGAAGAAATGTAACGCTGCTGACACTCTGGGCCGATGGTTAAAAACACAGGAACAAGCATTTGAAAGAGTTAAGAAAAAGGGGGGTAACAGACAAATTCTCAAGTACAAAAGACATCTAGATCAAACGGAGCTACAGCGTGAGGTCCCAGAAAAGCTGAGGAGCAGCGCAAAGCAGCCTTTGGCTTTTGCCAGTGGAGCGCTGACAGACACGAAAATGAGATCTCTGTCGTGCTTGGTGTAACAAAACGGTTGCATCGATTCACCTTTGGCACGAGGCAGATGTGCTGTCTGATGGTAAACCGCCAGCCTGTCTCAATACAGCAGTCCTGCTCTGCTCCCAAGCCGTGCCGGCGTGTGCTAAGACCCCAGCGCTGTCATGTCCAGCAAAGTCATGACAGACGGCGGAGACAAAGAGCTGGGCATAACTTCCAGAGTGTGAGACAGATGGCTTTGTGAAACAGGAGTCTACAGCTCACGCTAGAATACTTTTATAAATCTCCGGTGGGAGGCTCCAGGCAACGTAACAGAACCCCAAGTACAGCAGGATGCCGCAGGGCTGTGCTTTATATTCTAGGGTTTGGCCGTACCTCAAAATAAAATGCTTTCCTTTTGCTAGAAGAGGGTTACCTCCCTTTTCCAGGTGAGTTGTGAGCTGGATGCTTAAATTAGATTTTCTTTAAAGGAGAATAAGCAGTTACCTTAGTGAATAGAAGAGCTGATGTAATCATTGGGTTCATAATTTGCACCTAAAGATAGCTGCCTGTCTGAAATGAAAAAAGGGACCATATTTCCTGCCAAAATAATTGAGACCTGTCAGATGGTAGCTTTTCATCTAAAGAGAGCAGATTGAGCTTCACCCATGAGCTTCCTCCTGAATGAGGAGGACTGATCATAAATGATTCAGCGGAGAAGGGACTATGGACAATAAGCTGACATTATTTTGTCCGGCTTTATAGCCCTGCAGTCTCTTTTGGGGGCCCGAAGAAAACTGCGTGTAAGGCTAATTCCCTGGGTACGCATCAAGGCAGCGGTGAGGACTGTCCTGTGGTTGCTGGCAAAGACAGCCACTACTGGAAGGTATCCCTGTCTCCCAGTGCTGCGGGATGATAGTCACTGCTCTGGGGTGACACACAAGAGCTAAGAGCTTACTACCTACTAAACTCTCCAGCGGCGAAGGGTTGTGCTGGTAAACTTGGCGTTCAGGTAGGACAGCGGCTGAGGGTATACAAGAGCACGAAAACAAAGCGGCAGGGATCACTGTGCTCCCTTCCAAGTACAATACCGTTGTGCAAAGTAGTGAGAAGGTGAAGCCAGTTTATGAAAGACAGTGTCCAGCCAAGCAACAGACGGCAGAGTTACGGTCGCTTGCTAACAGCCCCGATCCAGGGCTGGGAAGCCTTAGACGAGACCGACCGAAGAGTGAACGAAGGGCGGGAGAGGAACGTCCCTGGCCACCTCACGGGCTAAAGGCTTCAGCGGGTGAAAACAAGCCCCCATCACAGTACACGTGGAAGACTGACTCGCAGCCTGCCGTATCTGGACCTTACGTCTGATGGCGGGTACGGGAACTGATTTGGGAGACGCTCTGCGTCCGTCGTGATGCAAAATGCTGTCGGGGCAGAGAGACTGCGCTGGACCCTCGGCGACGCCGTGCAGCCCGGGCCTGCTTGAGCCAAGGGGGCTTCAGCGCTGTCGACTGCCTCGCCTGAGAGGCAAGAAAATAACACAGTAGGTAATTTTACCGTGCAACCAGTGCCAGC